CCTTCTCTCTCCTATCCCTTCCTTCCCCTCCCCTCCCCCTCTCCCTTCCCCACCCCACCCATCCCCTTTCCCCTCTCCCATCCCCCTCCCCACCCACCCCTCTCCATCCCCTCCCCTCTCCCACCCCCATCCCCCCCTTCCACATCCCTTCCCCTCTCCATCCCATCCTTCCCTTCCCTCTCACCCATCCCTCTCCCCCTCCCTTCCCCTTTCCCTTCCCCTTCCCCTTCCCCTCTCCCTCCTTCCCTTCCCTTTCCTTCCCTTCCTCCTCCAGGCACCCGTCAGCTCCGGAACATGGACTACGGGGTGTGTATTCTCCCTCCTGACGGCTACTGCGGCATCATCTGGGAAAAGGACACGACTAGCGTTTACTCCTTCAGCGTCTCGGGTGCGCTGGATGCCCTGGACCCCAACCTTGTGGGTAGGTGTCGTTCTTTTTTTGTTGTTGTTGTTCTATTTTGTTCTTTGTTTTCTTGTTGTTTTTCTTTGTTTTTTCGTGTGTTTTTTCTGTTCTCTGGTGTCCGATTTTTTTTTTTTTTTTTTTTGTTGCTTGTTATTGTGTTCTCCGTTGTGTTCGTGTTCTCTGTTGTTCTTGGGCTCTCTGTTTTCCCTTGCGTTTTCTGTCGCTGTCGTGTTCTCTATTGGTTTCATGTTCGTTGTTCTTGTGTTCTGTGTTTTCATGTTCTAGAATTGTCGTCGTTGTTTCTGTTCTTGTGTTCTCTACTGTTTCTTTGATCTCTATTCTGTTTGTGTTTTCTCAAATTCACTTGTGTTCTCTTGTGTTATTTCGTGTTTACTTCTTTTTTTTTTTTTTTTGATTCGCGTGCTTGCGTTTTCTAGTGTTCGTTCGTATTCTTTTGTTTTCTAGTGTTCTTTCTTGCTTTTGTGTTTTCTAGCATTCTTTTGTTCTCTAGTGTTCGTTCTTGTCTTTGTGTTATCTTGTGTTCTTTCGTTCTCTAGTGATTGTTCGCGTTTTGTGTTTTCCAAGTGTATTTTTGTTCTTTAGTGTTCATTCGCGTTTTGTGTTTTCTAGTGTGTGTGTGTCGTCTTGTTCATTTGTGTTCTTGTGTTTTCTAGCAATAGTTTGTGTTCTTGCGTTCTCTAGTGTTAGTTTGTGTTCTGTTTTCTAATTTCCCTTCGTATTCTTTCGTTGTCTAGTGTTCGATCGTGTTGTCGTGTTCTTTAATATTCGTTCTCATTATTGCGTTCTCTAGTGTTCGTTCATATTCTTATAATTTCTTGTGTTCATTTGTGTTCCAATGTTATCCAGTATCCATTCGTATTCGTGTGTTCTCTAGTGTTCGTTCATGTTCATATAGTTGTGGACTCGTATTATGTTCTCTAATTTTTGTTCATATTCTTGTGTTCTCTAGTCTTAATGTTTGTTCTTGTCGTTATGTTCTTCATGTTCTGCTTGTTCTGTATTCAGAGCATTATTTATTAAATCATCGCTGGTATTATTATCATTATTATTTTTTTCATTATTATTATTAGTAGAAGCAGTAATATATCAATGTTATGAACATATTGTTATTATTATTATTATCTTCATCATTATCATTATTGTTGTTATTGTTGATATTATTACTATCATTGCAGTTATTATTGTTAATGATATAATTATTATTATTGTCATTATCCTTATCACTAGTACTGTCAGTATCATCATCAGTATCATTATTATTATTATCGTTATCATTATTTTTTTCATCCTCCATCATCATCATCATCATTATCCTCCTCCTCCTCCTCTTCTCCCTTTACCCTCCCCCTCTTCCTCCTCCTTCTCCGCCTCCTCCATCTTCTTCATCTTCATCTTTCCTCTTACTATCATCCATCATCATCATCATCATCAATCACCATCATCACATCACCATCATCAATCATCATCATCATTCTCCTCCTCCTCCCTTCCCTCCCCCCTCCCTCCCCTTTTCCCTCCTCCGCCCCCTCCTTCATCATCATCCTCATCATTAGCCTCCTCCTCCCCTTCCCTCCCCTCCCTCCCCTCCCCTCCCCTCTCTCCTCCCTCCCTCATCCCCTTCATCATCATCATTATCCTCTTCCTCCTCCTCCCTCCTCTTTTTCCCTCTCCCTCCCCTTTTCCCCCTCCTCCGCCCTCCTTTTCATCATCATCATATCCTAACCTCCTCCTCCCCTCCCCTTTTTCCCCTCCTCCGCCCTCCTTCTTCATCATCATCATCATTATCCTCCTCCTCCTCCTCCTCCTCCTCTCCTCCTCCTCCTCCTCCTCCCCCTTTTCCCCTCACCTCCCCTTTTCCCTCCCTCCCCCTTTTCCCCCCTCTCCGCCCCTCCTTCTTCATCATCATCATTATCCTCCTCCTCCTCCTCCTCCCTCCCCTTTTTCCCCTCCCTCCCCCTTTTCCCCCCCTCCCCTTTTCCCCCCTCCTCCGCCTCCTTCTCTCCGCCCCCCATCTTCATCTTCCTCTTATCAGCATCATCATCATCATTATTACCATTATCATTATCATTATCATTATCATTATTATCCTCCTCCTCCTCGTCCTCCAGGCACCACGTACGCCGTCGAGAGGAACTGCACCACCGACTACGTCATCATTCCCGGAGGCACCGAGGACACGGGGACCCAGAATGACCGCTTCTGTGGCCTCGGCTTCCCCAACAGCGTGATGTGTAAGGGCTTCGGTGTTTTCTGCTGTTGTTTTCTAAGGAATGTTTTGGATGTGTGTGGGGAATGTGGGTATTTTGAGGGGGGGGGTATTCGTGTAAAGGGTGAACTACGCACACACGCATACGCACGCATGCATACGCACGCACGCATACGCGCACACGCACACACACGCATACGCGCACACGCACACGCACGCATACGCACACGCACACACACACGCACGCACGCATACGCACGCACACGCACACACACGCACACGCACACACACACACACACAACACACACACCACACACACACACACACACACACACACACACACACACACACACACACACACACACACACACACACACACACACACACACATATTGACACTCACAGAGACAGACACACAAACAGACTTTAACAAATCTCATGCGTTTGACATATTGACACTCACAGACACAGACAAACAGACTTTAACAAATCTCATGCGTTTGACATTGACACACAGACACAGACAAACAGACTTTAACATGTGTTTGAAATGTTTAAATATGTACCCACACGTATGCCCCTCAACATGTAAAATACAGCAGGATCTCACACCATTCTCACTTCTCCTTTTTTCAGCCTATGCCAAGCCTTACATACTGTACGTGAAAACAAACGGGGATGAAGCAGCTGACACGCTGAACAGGGGATTCAAGCTGAACTACCGACTTACAACCATCTGCACGTAATCCCCGTCGCACGAATAGGAGAAGGAGATAGGGGAATAAACAGACGAGGAAGGTGGACGCACGAATAGGAGAGGGAGATAGAGGAATAAACAGACGAGGAAGGTGGACGCACGAATGGGAGAAGGAGATAGAGGAATAAACAGACGAGGAAGGTGGACGCACGAATAGGAAAATGAGAAAATGAATAAACAGACGGGGAAGGTGGACGCACGAATAAGAAAAGGAGAAAATAGAGGACTAAACAGACGAGGAAGGTGGACGCACGATGTGTTGAAAAAAAAACGAGAGAATTGTTTACATTTCTGTTTTTTCTTCCTTTTGTTTGTTTTTGTTTTTTTAATTTGTATGGTTTGTTAATAGTACGAGGCATTTTCATGTGTACTCTGATTATTATCTTTTTGGACAGGGTTTGAAATTAAGAAAAAGTTTGTTTACAAAGATATATACGTAAACGTGGATTGTTGATTTTTTTGTCAGTTTCATTATTTTCTTATGCCATTCGGTAAAATAATCATATATTTTTTTCTTTTTTCTGTTATATGTATTTTTGTTACATGTTAGAATAGAGTAGTTGTTTCTGTATTTATTTATTGTTGATCAATATCAGTTATATATGAAACGTTGTCTGTGTATCAGTATCCTTTCCTTATAAAAAAATTGTTTCTATTATTTTTTTTTTTATTTCTCTTTTATTTATCTTTTTTACGCTATATTTCCTTCCCCTTCTGTTTTCTTATATATATCACAAAATTTTTTTTTTTTATCAAACATTGCATGATTTCCTTTCGTGTTCCGTGAGATGCGAACGAACACCAGCCAAGATTTGCTCTGATTCTGGCAACAGTTTCTGAGGCGGAAATAGACACACACGGCTGGGTTGTCAAGGAGGAACGGGGGGGGGGGGGAGAGGGGCATTGGTAGGGGAAGGGAGGGGGGGGTTGTCAAGAGGGACTGTCTGTATATGTCTGTTTTTGGTATGTTTTTTTTTTTTTTTTTTTTCTTTTTTCTTTTTTTGTGTGGGGTTCATGGCTTCTTTTCTTTTGTCTTTTTATTCGTCCCTATTTTTTCCGTTTTTTTTTTCTTTTTTTTTTTGTCTAGGACGTTTTTGTTTTCGTACACCCTCATATTCTCTCTCTTCTCTCTCTCTCTCTCTCTCTCTCTCTCTCTCTCTCTCTCTCTCTCTCTCTCTCTCTCTCTCTCTCTCTCTCTCTCTCTCTCTCTCTCTCTCTCTCTCTCTCTCTCTCTCTCTCTCTCTCTCTCTCTCTCTCTCTCTCTCTCTTCTCTCTCTCTCTCTCTCTTCTCTCTCTCTCTCTCTCTCTCTCTCTCTCTCTCTCTCTTCTCTCTCTCTCTCTCTCTCTCTTCTCTCTCTCCTTCTCTCTCTCTCTCTCTCTCTCTCTCTCTCTCTCTCTCTCTCTCTCTCTCTCTCTCTCTCTCTCTCTCTCTCTCTCTCTCTCTCTCTCTCTCCTCTCTCTCTCTCTCTCTCTCTCTCTCTCTCTCTCTCTCTCTCTCTCTCTCCTCTCCTCTCACTCTCTCCTCTCTCTCTCTCTCTCTCTCTCCTCTCTCTCTCTCTCTCTCTCTCTCTCTCTCACTCACTCACTCTCACTCACTCACACTCACTCACTCTCTTTCACTCACTCCCTCTTTCAACCCCATTGGATGAGAGAAAACCTTATGATAATGATCGTCTTTTGTTCGCTTATACATGAGATCGAATCCCATTGGATGAGAGAAAACCTTATAATAATAGTTGTCTCTTGTTCGCATGATCATGTGTGCTGTGACAGGCTCTTGTGACAAGTCAAATTGTGTCAAACAGGTGTGTGTGTGTGCGTGCGTGCGTGCGTGTGTGTGTGTGTGTGTGTGTGTGTGTGTGTGTGTGTGTGTGTGTTGTGTGTGTGTGTGTGTACATAAGTATCTATAAGGCTAAATAAGAGAGACCCAGCCCTTTGTAAACATTTGCACCTGGCCGGTTTTCATCGTGACCTGAATACCTTGGCCGTGCGTACTGACTACGTGTGTGTTTGTGCGAGAGAAAGAGAGACAGAGACAGAGAGACAGACAGACAGAGAGTGTGTGTGTGTTTGCGAGAGAGAAAGAGACTGACAGACAGAGAGTGTGTGTGTGTGGTGCGCGCGAGAGAGAGAAGAGTGCGAGAGAGAGAGAGAGAGTGTGTGTGTGTGCGAGAGAGAGAGAGAGAGAGAGAGAGAGAGAGAGAGAGAGAGAGAGAGTGAGTGTGTGTGTGCGAGAGAGAGAGAGAGAGTGTGTGTGTGTGTGCGAGCGCGAGAGAGAGAGAGAGATGTGTGTGTGTGCGAGAGAGAGAGAGAGTGTGTGTGTGTGTGTGCGAGAGAGAGAGAGAGAGAGAGAGATAGTGTGTGTGCGAGAGAGAGAGAGAGAGAGAGAGAGAGAGAGAGAGAGAGAGAGAGAGAGAGAGAGAGAGAGAGAGAAGAGAGAGAGAGAGAGAGAGAGAGAGAGAGAGAGAGAGAGAGAGAGAGAGAGAGAGAGAGAGAGAGAGAGAGAGAGAGAGAGAGAGAGAGAGTCCTGTTGCTTCTGCAGATATTTTTCTATCGTCCTCCATCCTTATTCAACACGTTTTCTTTTTAATGTTGTTTTACATGCTCTTTGTTGTCGCTCTTTTTACAGGATACCAGACCATTCACTGGTTACTACATGCCTACCAGTTTTTACAACGTGTCATAAGGAACAAATGACAAGATCGAAATGTCACGTTTTTATTCCATTTCTACTGTGACAGTATTTAAAACTAGCATTAGTAGTAAGTGGGGCTCAATGGTAGACCAACGGTTGGCGGATTACCGTATGATATGATCACCCGAGTCTTCACTTTAACATATTGAACCTTCGTCAGTTTCATAAAATGTGTTGAAAAGTCGCTGTAAAATTCACGGCAGAGGTGAAACCATTCTAACCCGAGAAGTCTCATTTAGTCCCCTACATGAATGAAGCCAACAACCACCAGCTTTGCCTTGTGGAAGGGAAACTGACCCTTTCAACACCCTCTCGTGAATGATGTCTCGCTGGTAACCTCTCAGGGAAGCAGACCTACAAGCACTTTTTCCAAAACCCGGTGACCCAGTGTACATATTTTTACACACATGACTGTTTACGCACAGGGTGTGTTTACAGATAAGAGTTGATCAATATCAATGATAAAAGAGAGATTAATAGACGGATATGCATGAGTTTTTTCTAGAGAGGATGAGAATAAAGAACAATTCAGCATGGTAATTTATTAGTCATTATGAATAAACTTGTAAAAAGAAAAAAAATGTGATGCATCTTATTTCTGGGAAGAAAGAGGAGATGAAAATTATGTATAAATGACTTATTCTTATATAATTTTTTATTTTTATTTTCATATAACATACAAAAAATATATGACAAAATCTCGATTATCTTATACATACAAGAATACAATCCGAAGTAATTTGAAAGCCTTCCAAAGTTATAGTTTCCCTTTTCCCTCCCCCCCCCTTCTCTTCTCTCTCTGTAATTTCAGTTTGTTATAGCATTATTAGTTGTCAGATAGTTTATCATTTACTTATATTACTCATGTATTTAGTTTTTAATTCATATTTTCAGGTATTTACTTCGCATATGTACTTAATATGCGCGCACCGAAAATACACGTATATACTAAACCTTGTTGTGTAAGCATTATTTTCATAAGCTGGCTTTGTAATTGAAAATAGGATAGGCTTCCTCGGTAGGCTTTCCTCCTATCCATTCCTCGCCCCTTCCTTGAAACTTATTCAGCACAATCAGTTATTCACGTAACTATTCCCCACATCCCCTCACATAGCAGCTAGTTCCTTGCATTTATGACTTGCTGTTGGTGCTGCCCCTTTTCACTCCCTCTCTCCGCGGCCACATTCGCCCTTTACCAGCAAACGACCCATCAGGCAGGATTCAACAGCCGCTAAAGACCTCATCTGACAGTCGCTGTACTGTTGACCTCAACCGTAAACTTGAATCACAGAAGGCTCGTTTCTCAACAACCCTTATTCTTATGGATTGCTGTTTGTATCGGTTATTCACTTTAGCACCCTCGCGCTCTGTGGAAGTTGCTGCTGCCCAAACACGCTGAAAATCACCGTAGACTTCTT